CGAAATATTTTCTATTATTGTTAGTGCTGACCTTTTAGGAAAAGAAAAAGAGAAGCTATTGACGGTGTTAACTAACACCGTAAGGCTTTGGGCTACTCAATGAAAGACGTAAAAGGGATAGATCCATCTAGTTATTCTCACGATATTCCCATTAAAGAAGGAGCTAAACTAGTAATTGAAAGCCAACGAAGACTACATCATGCCTCCAGGAATGTGGTAAGAAAAGAAGTAACACGTCTTCTTGACGCTGGGGTAATTTACCCTATGTCTGATAGTAGGTGGGTGAGTCCAGTTCATTGCATTCCTAAGAAAGGAGGGGTTTCTTTAGTAACTAATGAAAATAATAACATAGTCTCTACTAGGGCTATTTGGATATGGAACGTGTGTAGATTTTACAAAATTAAATAAATGGACTCGGAAGGATCACTGCCCATTACCTTCCATAAATGAGATATTGAAAATGTTGGCTAAAAACTCCTACTTTTGTTATCTCGATGGATATTCCGGATTTTCACACATACCAATCTGACCTGAAGACCAAGATAAGACCACCTTCACTTGTCCCTACGGTACATATGCATATCGTAGAATACCATTTGGCTTGTGTAATGGACCACCCTCTTTTTCTAGAGTTTTCCCTGACTTTGTGGAGAAAATTCTTTCAGAAGTGCATTTCCAGAATTTTCCCTCACTTTGTGAAGAAAATTGTCAAAGTCTTTAGGGATAATTTTTCTGTCAGGCACTTCTTTGACAACTGTCTCTATAATCTCACAGAAGTTCTGCAGAGATGCGAAGAAACATGTTTTGTGCTGAATTGGAAAATTAGCCACTTCATGGTCACCGAGGGAGTAGCGCTGGGGCATAGAGTACCGGGAAGGAGTATCGAAATAGATCAAGAAAGAACAGAGATAATAGAAATTGTAGCGACCCGACCCGAATGGGTCAAGTCTCTGTGCTTACGTGTCATCCCTGGATCGGTATGCTGACACACACAGTACTCGAGGATTTATAACAGAGGTAAATCACATGTATAAAGTAACGTAAATACTATTACCTCAATCCAAAATAGCAGAAGTAACAAGGTTGTGGATTCTCACCAACACCAACGGCAAAGTTGAGTGTAGAAATCGTAACGCTAACGTATCACTTACTCGTCGTAAGATCCTGCAACAGGAGACGTTGCAGCTACAAAGGGTCAGTACATTGAATGTACTGGCAAATTCACACCATAGAGCAATGATGAATAAAGTCTATCACTACATGCATATTTGGCTGGTGGAAAGCTCTATGGTTACTGTTTTTGCGTAAAGCCAGTTTTTCCCTACTGCAAAGAAATAAATTTATTTAACTATCATGGTGGTTGTTAAATATTGAGAATGGTTGACAGCATTCTCAATCCCAATTAAAAGTACTCATTAACAACCCAACAATATTAATTAAAGTAACATGATGAGATTCACATGATAATCCAAGTACTAGATACTCAAGATGACCATAACCGGGGACACGGCTAATCATGATTAGTTTGTACACTCTACAGAGGTTTGCGCACTTTTCCCCACATGACTCGATCGCCTCCGTTTGGTTTCTTGCACTACATGGTGTTTGAGAAACGGATGACCGAGACATAGTCTTTCAGAAGCGCTCGCACCTTACATAGAGGGTAGACCGTACCAACCTACATCCCCTACATCTGCTAGTCTACCCTGTAAGAGTTTGCATGACTTAGTCAACTATGCTAGAGCCCATAATAGCATGTGGCTGCACACGGAAGTTTCTAGTTTGAATAATCTCATGATCCCTTTGAGCCTGGGTGGCGGTCCGAAGAAAAATAGGCAAGTCCTGGAAACCCAGGTGCCTAGACAGGCAAGTCCTGGAGTAACCAGGTGCCTCAATCCACCCAAATGTGTATTAAAGTTGCCACCTTAAATAAACCATTAATTAACAAACTCACATCTGTCATGGAAAATTCACTCACCCAATCCACGTCTACTTGCATAACATGGCATAATAAGCAAACGTAGAAGTAACTACCAAGGGTTTGATAATAAAACAGGTAATAGGTACTACCTCAACTAATTCCCATAACCCACAATTTAATTAGATCATAATCATGCAATGTTTGAGGATAGATCTAATGCATAAAAACTGGGTATGAGAAAAGGTATGATCAAAGTGTGAACTTGCCTGCAATGTTGATGAAGATGATTCGCACTCAAAACTCTTGATAGTTCTACTCGTCACACTCCGTTCAATCTATCATAAGCAAACAATAGTAACCACACATAAGCAATCACTCAAAAGATCGGAAAGAACGAAGAAGTATGATTCGGAAAACATCAAAACCAAACGAATAACTCTTGCAACAATAAACAATTCCTAACAGTACCAAAATTATGTGAATTTGGCCTTATCAGAAAGTTTAGGTCAAGAGCTTCGATATGCAAAAAGAATCAACTAAATCGGAGTTACAAAACTCAAGTTATGATCAAACGAAGTTTAAATTCAAATTTGATCTAATTCAAATTTTAAACTTTCAAAAACATGTTTGAGTTGGATTACTGTATAGAGGAGATCATAACGAAGAAGTGGGCGGTGGTTTCGTTGAATTTGGATAAACGGACAAAAAGTTGTGATCGTTTTAAGAATAGGGACTAATCTGTAAATAAAATATTCATGGATGGGTCCCTGGCCGGAAATTAAAAAGAAAAAGAAAAATCCTATCGAACGAACGTTCGCTACGAGGAACTAAAGAACGAACTCGTTCACTGTAGAAGCTAACATAGCGAACGTTTACTGATTAACTTAACTTAGAAAATAAACCGATCTAATAAGTAAAAACCAACCTAGTAAATAAAAACCGGACGAGTTAACGATTTTATTCCGGTTCGAAAAAAAAACGGCAGCGGCGGTTTTCCGGCGGATCTCCGGTGCAATGGCGGCGGCGGTGGTTCGGGTTCGGCCGGGGCGGAGGCTCCGGTCGTCGAGGGCGGCGGCGAAGTGGTCGGGGAGGAGCGGCGCGGCGAGGCGAGGAGGTTGGCGGTGTCGACGGTGGTTCCCGGTGACGGAACGAAGCGGGGCGGCGGCGACGGATCTCGCCGGCGACGGCGGATTTTGAGGAGTGCGACGGCGGCTGCGACGCGATGCGGAGAGGAAAGGGGAGGCGGCGGCGCGAGAAAAGAGAGAGAGGCCCGGGGCTACGGCTTAAATAGGCGGGGAGGGCCTCGGGAGGCGTGGAGGAGGGGTAAGGCGGCGGCGGGAGGCCAGGCGGAGCACGGCGGCGGCGATGCGTGCGCGCTCGGGAGTCGGGGACGTAGGCGGTGGCGCGCTGGGCCGGCCCAGTAGGGGGAGAGAGGGTTTTTTAAAAAAAACATTTTTCCAGCAAAACAAAAAGAAACGCAAAATAAATAACATTTTTACATAGGTATATAATATATCAAAATTTTCAGAAAAAGATTTTCTATGACATGAACATTTTTACAGAGTCAAATAAAATTCACACAAATTCAAATAAAACAAAGAGTGCTTCTGCTCTAGTAAAATCCAGTAAAAATCATTTTAAAAATACCAAAATTAATTCAAATTTATTTCTCTCCAATTTTTCTAATGTAGGGAATCATGTTACCCTATTTTCCATATATTTTATTTTTGGAGAAGAATAATTTGAATAAAACTCAAATAACTCCAAATGGAAAAGTAAATTCAAAAGAACTTTGAATTTAATTCTTTGAAACTCCCAACTCATATTTCAAATGTTTTGAAGAAGTCATTTTATCTTCGCTCGTGAAAATCATTGAGTTGCATAAAGTTCCTGGGTTGGAAATATTTTCCAAATGAAATTCAAATATTTTCAACACCCCTTGTCATTTAAATAAATGGAAGAAGTCATGTCATCTTCTCTCCAGGGTTTTGTGGTGAAAAGAATTTGAATTCACGGAGATCAAAATGCAAAAATGAAAGTTTGGGAAAGTCCTTTTATTCCCTCTCATTTAACTTTCAAAAGTTTCAAATTTCACTCAATCAATCACACAACAATCAAACAAATAATCAATCTATCTATTTAATATAACATTCCAAAATTTAGAATTTTGGGATGTTACAAAAATGTACCTTACCCTCAATAGAAGGTTCATTAAGGATTTTTCTAAATTCATGTATGTTAGCAATGATATGTGATGTGCACTTTGTAAAAATTAACTTCAAATGTGGTGTTCACTTAAATAAAATGCACGAGATATAAATTTGTCTTTTTGTACATATCACATGATCATATATTTTGTTATGATTTTTTTATATGCACATCATATAGTGAGTTACACCCATGAATTACTTCGTAATTTTCAAAGCAAAAATGTAGTTGTCGTACTACCTTCGTCTGGTTTACACGTCTCTTTCGTACTTTGTGTTAAATTTCGGCTGTAGATTTGACTAACAAAATAAAAGTTTTAAATCACCAAATTATATTGTAGGATTCATATTCAAAAGAGATTTCCAATTATACTATTATTTTGATATATAATTTATTTTTTGGTAATTAAATCAAGGGTCAAAGGTAGACCAAAAATACAATAGGGCCAAAAATACAATAGGGCTAATAAACCCAGACAAAGGTAGTTAACAATTGAACTTGAACTTGAGCACTCTTCAGTCTTCATCCAACTTTGTAGAGTATCGCGTCTGTCCACACTTATTTGGCCACCGCGGCCTCCTTGCAGTCCTCTTTCCCGAAGGCGGAGACAGGGAAGGTCCTCCCCAGCCCCGGTGGGGGTCTTGAAGGTGATCTTGGAGGGGTCGCCCTTGTCGATGTACATGTCGCAGAGGGTGATCCAGATGAGGAGCTCCTTGCTCTTGACCCCGGTCATGCGCTTCATCTTGCGGTCCTCGACGAAGGCCGTCACCTCAGTGGCGTACGAGACCTGCCTCCCGATCTGCTTGAAGGTGTGCGTGAGCGCCTTCTTCTGGCGCAGCCAGACGAAGCCGGTGGCGCGGTTGTAGCCGACCTCCTCGATGTCCGCCAGCGGCAGCAGGCCCAGCGGCATGTTGGTCTCGGCCAGCAGCTCCACCGCCTTCTCCGCGCACAGCACCGCGCCGTGGTACACCTCCGCACCCTCCCTCTGAGCCTCGATCGCCTGCGCCATCTCGACTGATTGAATCAATCAAATCTCTCAAAGTAAGCTCAGATTCAACTCTACGCGCTGGAGTTGCTGGTGCCTTTTTCGGTCTTGGGGGATTTGGTTTGCTGTTGTGGAATTGTGGGTGGGGAGGGGCGGATTTTATAGCTGGATCTGGCGCTTTCCGTTCCGGGATGGATACCGTCGTCCTAGCTGGGGAGGAAGACGGTTGGGAAAGGGGATTTAAGGCCAGGGTTTATTAATGCGTGGGGAGGAAGCTGGTTGGGTCTCCGGTCTTCGACGCATTTGTGGTTTTCTTGCTCTCTTTTTTTTTCTTTGAACTGTTCCCCTTGCATGATGAATTACATATTACCTACATTTCAGTCAGCCGACTTTTCAGTTTTGGGTCAGTCGATTTTGATTGAAAGAAGGAGAAGGAATGGCCTTGCCAGAGAGAAGGAAGGGGCTCGCCGTCATCACCACATTATCTATCTTAGGGTTCAGGGTGGGGTAGTGGTGGACGGCGATGGTGGGGCGGTGGTGTGGGTTCACCGGAGAAAAAAAACTAGATGGGGTCGGGGCTAGAGGGATGGCCGGGGGCGGCGGCAAGCCTGGCGGTGGGAGAAGGTCAAGGGGAGGGCGGGGCGGCGGAGGCTGGCGGTTCGGCCAGAGGAAGAAGATGAACAGTGTGTGTCGAGTTTGAGGTGGAAGATGACTGCAGATCCATTGGATCTTGATCCAACGGTTTAGATAGAATCGACTAGTCTTTCCTGATGAATTATCAGGCTTATGTCGCTCCGGGTTTAAAAATGAATGGCTATTTCTGCGTTAATAAATTATCAGGTTTATGTCGCTCCCGGGTTTAAAAATAGATGGCTATTTCTGCGTTAATCGTTGACATGCCATGAAAACGATGGTCACGGATGGTGTCACCATAATTACGAGAGTGGTTGGGGGGGTCATAACTCATCTATTCAACAGATAAATGCCACTAGAACGTAAATTAGTCTCTCTTTTTTTCTTTGGTAAACGTTTGTGACCAGTCGACCGGCTGAACGCTCGGCCGGTCACGGGCACAACGTCCGATCTGCTCGTGGTGTATGCTCGGATTTGCGTCGCATCGCCTAGCCAGGCAGGCACATGCGTGATTGTGAGTGGGATCTTATCCCCTTCTATTCTTCTCGTCCTTCTGTTTCTCTTCTAGAGCATGACCCACTGAACCCATCCCCTCTGCTCCAGATCAGCGAGAAAGCCATGACTGCTACCTACTCATCCCGACGAAGCTTAGGCAAATCGTTGGGGAGGGCGACCATGCGTCATGCGTTCCACGCACATGAGAGACGACTAGGGTGAGGCTCTCTGCCCTCGAGCAGATTGCCTGAGGAAGGAGGAGATGATGCAACAGGGGGAGCTGCAGGCTGCCGCGTGCCGGTGGTGCTGCGACCTCTCCAGTTGACCTAGAGGCCCATGCCATCAACGAAAAGAGAGGCTGTAATTGCCATGATCTAAATTATGAAAAAAAATGTCTTGCTACTTTATAAAATTGTCATTTCTCTAATTTATAATTTTACAATGAGTATGATAGTGAAAAAAAGTCGTGAGGTCCGCGAGAATAAAACTGCCATGCTAAACTTTAAAAACTGTCATTCTCTATTTTGTCTGGATAAGCCCCAAAATTAGATTTTATAGTTACATTTTCGAAAAACAAAAAGAATATCATGCTCTTAGTAAAAAAATGCATCCTCTTAATAATAAAAATGTCAATCCCGTTAAAAATAAAATCCTCTTAGATTGAAAATTTTCATCCTCTTAAAGTAATAATAATAAATCATCATCCCAATAATAGAATTGCCATCCTCATAGTAATTAAAAATGGCATCCTCTTAATAATAAGAAATTGCCATGTTATTGATGTAAAAATGTCGTGCCGTAAACAATAAATTGCCATGTGAGAAAGTAGAAAAACAATTAAAAAATTGGCATGGGCTTATAAAAAATGACACATGGCCAAAAAATAGGGTTTTTGTTGTTTCAATAAGATGATCTTTTGGGGGTTTTTCTTTACCAAATTTTCAAATGGAAAAACGAATTAAGGACACAATATACATAGGTCGTGAGTTCGAACCCTCCTCGCGCATTTTGGTTCGTGCATTTTTTGGAGGAAAAAAAAGAGAGTGGTCACCTATGAAACGGGTTAGAGCATACTACCCTAGCTTATCTACGTGATGTCGGCCTTGCAGTAAGATGTGTGCAACGGCAGCGAAGGCGTTCGCCAAGATTGACGCGAACTATCTGATAAAATCGAGAGAAATTGTACTAGTACTACTGTTTAAATTGTACTAGTGCTACTGTTTTCTTGAACCCTTGCCTCCGAAGCAAAGAGTCTTTAACTTGACGCATGACACTCCAGCGACCTGTGTCAACGTCGTGTGTGCAGAGCGATCGAGCGGATGGAATTGCATTTGTAGTTTAATATACTCGTGGCAATGCTAAGCACGCGTCTGATTGAAACTTGATCCTGTACAACTACCTGAGTTAATGTTCGATTTTCCCCGACCAGCGTGATGCTGCTGCTCGTGGTGGTGGACTGGCGTTACTCTGCAGCAACGTCTAACCATCAACAGCCTGATGCGTCCACCATGCGGCAGTATTCTGCTCTGAGTACTGTAGTCTTTTCTAGAGGAACACCGCAACCATGCCGCATAGACTGGTCTTGTACGCGTTGATGGCTTGATGCCACTCACAACTGCTCGGACACCTGCTCCGCATGCGACCTGGTCCACAAGATCCTCCACCTTTTGAGCTCACGTGGCTTCATAATTACACATCCCTTTTCCGGGCAAAATTTCTGGACCATGGTGCACCTGCACCATGTCACCCCTCCGCTCGATACAGGTTCCATGTTTGGGTCCACAGTGCACACACAATAGATGTTCACTTGCTAGTGTGATGCATCATCAGTCACACCCAAATACCAAACTGGAATAAACAGTTTTGAATATAAATAGGCTGCTGAGAAATGGAAAAGGGTGACTATGAGTGGTTTTGGCTGTGGAAAAAGTGCGGTATTACTTAAAAGAGGATTTTTTTTTACGGAGCTACGGTGGGCTTACGCCAGCCTGAACCATTTTCATTATCATAATTAAGACTGGGATACAAACACAACGGCTACACAAGTGTAGTACCCAGCAGACACAAGAGAAAATAAGGAACAACAACGAAGAACAAGGAAACAAGCTACAACAAGCAATTGACACCAAGAACTTAGCACCCATCAACACTAGGCAAATCGAGAAGAGCGGGAGCTAGCTTTGTTGGATCAGTCGAAAGGAGACCCGGTGCCGAGAAGATGTAGAGAAGAAGTCACTCGCTGCCCTATGATCACTCACACCATGAAGAGCTAGGAAGTCACAGCTACCATCGAAGGGCATCTCATTGCCTAGCCACGTCGCGGCAGAGAGAGCCACAGACTGTGCCGAAGGGCAATGCTCCGCCGAGAAAATCCCTGCACCTCCTCTAGGCCACACCATGGCCACCATCATAATTAGAGGGAGCCAGAGCACTATGCAAAGCAACAAAACCTCACGCGCCGTCGAAGGGCACCGAACACCAAGACCTTACCGCCGCCACGAGCTCCCAAGAGTGGTCAACCAACAACACCAGGATGACCACGGCACCAGCCGCCGCCATAGATTACTTCCACCGCCACCACCAAACATTCCAACCACCCAACAACCTCTACTACCCAAACATCAAGCAGCCAACAGCGGATTTCGTGGCTCCAAAAAACGACGCCCCCAAGGGGGAGAACGACATCGAGATGCCGTCCTTATCTGATCGAATGAAGGATCTAAGGCTTTCGCCCGAAGCACACGAATGAGCGAGCGACAACAGCTCCCCAATGACCTCTCAAGAAGGGAAGCGGTGCCCAAAGGCGTTGCCGTCATCATTGCCGACAAGGTCGGCACAAGGCTTTCGCCTGAAGCATCCCCATCCCGGTCATCTCCGCAAATGCCAGCGCTTGATTCCAGCAGCACAAGACCACCCTACCCTCCCACCGTCCACATCGAGCGTCCCCGCCAGGTCGAGCAAGAAGCTCCGACGACACAGCCGCTCACCTCGAGCATCCGCACAAAAGGAGTTAGAGCAAGCTTGGCTGCCACCAGCACCCAAACTTGCACTACCAGCCACACATCTCCACCACCGCCACATCAAACCCCGCAGGCTGCATCCACCACCGACCTCCCGGCCGTGGCCACGGAAAGCCACTGCCCGAGTGAGCTGTTGCCATGGGAAATACCAAATCTGGATGCCATGAAGCCTCCCAGACCAAGCACAAAGCTCACTGAGGGAGTCCTGGACTAGGGGGTGTCCGGACAGCCGGACTATCATCGTTCGCCGGACTCCAAGACTACGAAGATACAAGATTGAAGACTCCGTCCCATGTCCGGATGGGACTTTCCTTGGCGTGGAAGGCAAGCTTGGCGATACGGATATGTAGATCTCCTACCATTGTAACCGACTCTGTGTAACCCTAGCCTCCTCCGGTGTCTATATAAACCGGAGGGCTTTAGTCCGTAGGACACAACATACATTACAACAATCATACCATAGGCTAGCTTTAGGGTTTAGCCTCCTTGATCTCGTGGTACATCCACTCTTGTACTACCCATATCATCAATATTAATAAAGCAGGACGTAGGGTTTTACCTCCATCGAGAGGGCCCGAACCTGGGTAAAACATCGTGTCCTCTCTTGTTACCATCCGCCTAGACGCACAGTTCGGGACCCCCTACCCGAGATCCGCCGGTTTTGACACCGACATTGGTGCTTTCATTGAGAGTTCCTCTGTGTCGTCGCCGATAGGAAGGATGCCTCCACCCGTCTTCAAATACGGTATTTTCGCCGAAGGGGCCTTGGCCGTCGGCCAAACTATCCGGCTAGGTGGTTTTCTTATGACCGCCTGTCCGGCTGCCGCTTCGACAATGACTTCTCAAGTCGTCAGAAGCAATCTTCGCGTCAGCCCT